GGTTGTGGGAGGAGGTGATACTGCTGCCATCTTGACCAGAAGTCCGGATGTAGTATCCTTGATCTCCCTAGCTTGATGCTCTAGAAATGTCCCTTGCATGAGTTATGTGGGCCCTCCTGTGGTAATTTGGTGTTGATGCTCTTGGCCCCTTTATGGGTGAGATCTATCCTGAGGCTGGCTGACTATGAGCTCAACCCAGACCATGTCCTGTAAGCCGTTACAGGTGATGACGAAACAAAATATAACATAAAGCAAAACACAACAACAAAAAGAATAAGAAAATAAAATTAAAAAAGAAAAATATAAGAGGAAGATAAAAAGTAATATGAAAGGAAAAAAAGAAAAAATTAAGAATATGAAAAGGAAAACAAAAGAAAAAATAGAATAAGAAACAGAAAAAGAAAAATAAGAAATATGAAAGAAAATAGACAAAAAATAGAAAGGAAGAAATAAAGGAAAAGCATAAAAAAGATAAAAGTAGAGCTTGCCTCAGCAGAATTTAGTGCCTGCTACGATCTCCTTTTAGATATGCAGTTTTTGACATTTGTTGAATGCTGCTGAAGCTGGCCACTTACTTGGTGTGTTGATTTTGGGAGGTTCTCTGGTTAAGCCAATGTCAGATGCTGTCTATGCCAGGCCCTCAGCAATCTGAAACTACAAGCGATTCAGTTTGTGGATGTCTCTGTTGGGCTTGGTTGCTCATGGGAAGGACCAAGTGTTGCTTTTAAGGCTGGTTTTTACCAGTACAGGGCCTAGGGGTGGGTCAGTGAACATCCCAAGGCACTCTGGGATCTGCCTCAGCCTGCCTCTACCTGTTGGCTGGCTGTTAGGCTTCATCATTGAAAGGCCCAGTCTCCAAAAGAGCCCCGGCAGGATCGGAAGGATGGAACGATTTTTATCTCCCATGAGGTGTTGTTCAGACTTCAGGATAGATGGTATGTTCCCCCGCCTCAGTTACACAGATTTTTTCTCCCCCTGACCTTGGCAGGGCACAGCTCCTAGTAGTCAGGTGGGGCCTCTGGAATTCAGAGCTTGGGGCTGCCAGAAGCCAGGAGGGTGTTTCTATTAAATTTCCCATGATGGGAAAGTGCCAGTCAGGCTTGTAAGAACACGGGGGGAATGGCCCCACCACAAAGCCTGTCTCTGACACCCCATGAGGCTGTCCAGACTTCTACTCCCCAGACTATTCCACTGACTCTTCAGCAGGGCTTAAGATGCAAAGTGTAGTGAGAGGGATTCTAGAAGGTGGGGTAATTGCTTTTCCCCAAGCTGATACCGCTCACTTGGAGGGGATTGTTTCTACCAAGAAAAATGGCTGCTGCAGTATTGGAGGATGACCCAGAATGGGGATCCTGGCAGCTGTTCCCCTTGTCTCTCCCCAAAGCCACCCAGCACAGACTCTCTTCAGGCAACTACAGCCCATACGGCCCGCCCTCTGCTGGAACCCAGGGTGAGTGGCTGGGGATGAAAATCTTGCATGCTGGCTCTTTATTTATATTTATACATTTTATTTTTTGCATGCTGGCCCTTTAAAAGGGTGGCTTTGTCTCTAGCAGGCTCTGCCTCTCCTTGATGGACAAAAACCTTGCCACCTTTCACAGCTGGATGCTATATAGGCACCTGTTTCTGGTCCTGGCACCCTAGGCTGGGTTTAGACAATACTCCTCTCAGGGGGAACCCCCCACAGCTGAGATATACCTCTGTAACCTTGATCTGCCACCCATGGGATAAGGGCCAGCCCCTTTCATATCTCAACCCTCCTACCAGTATTGAGGTAGCCTTATTTTGCTAGTCCTTGGTTTTAAGACTTCTCTTCAGGTAGCCTTTAGTTGGCAATTCAGGGTGAATGTTCCCCAGATTAGTTTTAATTTCCAGTTTGTTTCTAGGAAAAGTTGCAAGCAAGATCCACCTACTTACTCTCTGCCATCTTGAGCCAATCCTAAATGAATTTTTTTTTTTCCCCAAATCTTTATTGTTGGATGTAAAATGTATTACAGATGTTCCACATTTTTCCCCCATTGACCCCCTCCACCCCATTCCCGCCCCCCTCCCACCTTTTCCCACACTATTGTCTGTGTCCATTGGTTATGCATATAAGTTCTTTGGATTATTTCTTCCCGGCCCCCCAACCCCTTTCCCTTTGAGGTTTGTCAGTCTAGCAATGAATTTGTGCTTCTTAATCCCTTCACCTTTTTCACCCATTCCCCCAACCCCCTTCCCAACTGGCAACCAACAAAATGTTCTCTGTATCTATGAGAATGTTTCTGTTCTTCCTGTTCATTTTGTTTGTAGATTCCATTGTTGATAGATATGTATTCATTGCCATTTTGTTTGTTCACACATTTTATCTTTTTCTTCAAAAAGACCCTTCATCATTTCATATAATAACGGTTTGGTAGTGATGAACTCCTTTAACTTTTTCTTGTCTGGGAAAGTTTTTATATGTCCATCAATTCTAAATGACAGCTTTGCAGGGTAGAGTAATCTTGGTTGTAGGTTCTTGGTTTCATCACTCTGAATATTTCTTGCCACTCCCTTCTGCCCTGCAAAGTTTCTTTTGAGAAATCAGCTGACAGCCTAATGGGTACTCCCTTGTAGGTAACTAGCTGCCTTTCTCTTGCTGCTTTTAAGACTGTCTCTTTGTCTTGAACCTTTTGCATTTTGATGATGATGTGTCTTGGTGTGGGCCTCTTGGGGTTCATCTTGTTTGGGACTCTCTGTGCTTCCTGGACTTGTATGTCTGTTTCCTTCACCAAGTTAGGAAAGTTTTCTGCCATTATTGTTTCAAACAGGTTTTCAATTTCTTGTTCTCGCTCTTCTCCTTCGGGCACCCCCAAGATGCGAATGTTGGTATGCTTGAAGTTGTCCCAGAGGCTCCTTACACTATCCTCATTTTTTTTGGATTCTTTTTTCTTTTTGCTGTTCTGATTGGGTGTTTTTTGCTTCCTTATATTCCAAATCGATGGTTTGCTCCTTGGATTTACATACTCTATTATTGAAGCTGTGTAAATTATTCTTTATTTCAGTTAATGCCTCCTTTAATTCTAACTGTGTATCCATGATTTCTAACTGGTCCTTTTTTATGCTCTTGAGGCCCTCCCTAAGTTCACTGAGGTTCTCATTAAGTTCATTGAGCATCCTTATAAGCAGTATTTTGAACTCAGTATCTGTTAGGTTGCTTATCTCCCTTTCGCTTAGTTCTTTCATTGGGGTTTTGTTCTGTTTTTTCATTTGGGACCTGTTTCTTTGTATCCTCATTTTGGCTGCCTCCCTGTGTTTGTTTCTGTGTATTACTTAAAGAGAGGTATGGGGTTCGCTGAGACCCGGTGCTGCTCGTTTGAAAGAATTTAGGAAAAACCTGAAGCAGGATCCAAGACCAGCCAATCCTATGGTTAAGCAAGTGGCAACAGCTTGGGTGGGCCTGAAAGTTGTGTGGGGCGGGGCGGGGCCTCAGGGAGTCACTAGGGCTGGGCTACCAGTGTGAGCCAGGTTGCTAGAGTCCCAGATATGGCTTCTGTCTGCCGCCCCCGGGAAGGGCTCACCAAAGGAACAAAGGCCTCTGACAGCACGTTTGTCCCCAAGGAAGCCCCCTCTCCAGCACTCGCTCCAGTGCCAAACAGCTCAGTTCTTCCCTGTATGTCTCTGGTGCCCCTCGAGCTGCCTCCCCTCCAAGCTTAGAGGGAGAGAGTCCGATAAGTCCATGTGCGGGCCCTTTAGGGAGCTGCCTGTGGCTCCAGCCAGGTCAGCTTCCCTGAGCCTCAGTTTCCGCTGGTTTTTCCAGCTAGAAGTTATGGGGACTTCTCTTCCTGGCACTGGAACCCTGAATGGGGCACCTGGTGTGGGACGGGGACCCCTCAGTCCTCAGGAAGGACCTTCCCAGCCGCGGGAGCCTCCTGATTTTTATCCACCACGCTTGGGTGTGGGACCAGCCCGTCTCGCCGCTGTGCGCCGCTGCCACCGCGCCACTGCCTGTCCTACCGGTCTGGATGTAGCTGCTTTTTTTTTCTTAGTTCCGTTGTACGACTTCCATTCAGATTGATTTCAGGCGGTTTTGAATGATGGTTGTTCTGTAGTTTAGTTGTAACTTTGATGTGGTTGTGGGAGGACGCGATACCGCGTTTACCTACGCCGCCATCTTGACCGGAAGTCCTCTAAATGAATTCTTGATAATTCCCTTCTACTTCACCATACTGCCTCCAAAATGTATTTTTGCTTTCTTGATGGTATCCTTTGCAGTAAAAAAATTTTAATTTTGGTAAAGTCCAATGTATCTAGTTTTCTCTGTTGTTAATGCTTGTGGTGTCATGTCTAAGAAACCACTGTCTAATGCAATAGTCTAATTTACATCTATGCTTTCTTCTAAGAGTTTTATACTCTTACATTTAGGTCCTTATTCCTTTTGAAATAATTTTTGTATACAGTGTGTGGCAGGGATCTAACTTCATTCTCTTGCATAAAACCATCCAGTTGTCCCAGCATCACTTATTGGAAAAACCATACTTTCATTGGGGATGGTCTTGGTACCCTTGTCAAAAATTAAGTGATCATAAATGTGAGAGTTTATCTCTGGATTATCAATTCTAGATTATATATAAGTCAATATTTCATTGATCTATATGTCTGTGCCAGTAATATACCGTCTTAATTACTGCAGGTTTTTAATAAATTTTAAAACTGAGAAGTGTATTTCAACTTTTTCTTATTCAAACCTGGGTTCCTTAAATTTTCATATAAATTTTAGGATCTGTTTGTCAATTTCTACAAAAAAACAATGTGAATTTTGATAAGCACTGCATTCACCACGTTGCTTTTTGATGACAGTGAAAAATGAATATGCTAGTTCATAATTCTGTCATAAAATTTCTGTGGAATAGCAATGTAATCCCAACTTTTCATATTAAACAATTAGAAAACTTAAAAATAATGTTTATTTTGGAACTCACATATGAAGACAGGGTTTCAATTTGTTTAAATACTTTATTTTAACAGCTGTTATAGTTTATTAGTCATAAAAATCATCAAAATCATCCATGGATGTGTTATAGTTTCTAGGACGTAAAGCAGCTTCAATTTCTGAGTTACTGTCATCAGACTCACTCCTGAAGCCTGGAAGAAAAAACCAGACAGCTATTTAACATCTCTATACTCTGATTAGCTCAGTTTAATCAGCTGGACTGGTTAATTGGCGCACTGGTGTGCAAAAGGCCTACTAGGGACACCATGTAATTAACACAGAAGTAGGCTTACCTGAGTGTTTTATCAGGTCTGAATGCCACCTCACTCAGCTGCCCCACCACCTTGATCTCCCTCTATTCTTCATAAGAGCAGAGAGGAGAAGGGGAGACATGGTTTATACTGACACAAAGTTTATTTAGGAGGTAATCCTGGGAATGATGGGGGCTGGGAGGACTTGGAGAGTGATACAGAAAAGAGAGGAAGCCACAGAGGACATTAAATGGGAAGGGCTGGCAGTGGTGAAACCCGGGGCTCAGTCCTGCAGGGGGCCCTCTGAGAGGTTGCAGAACTCTCCTCAAATTGTCCCAAAGAAGAATAAGTGAGGTTATTTATCCACCAACTCCCATGTCTCATTGGTTGAGGGTTGTTCTCAACCAAGGTATAAACTCCCTGGCACTTTGGTTTTCCCTATGAGAAAGGAGCTTTCTCACAGGAGCTTTATCTACTCCTGTGGCCAGATAAAGCTCTCAGGTCTACACAGCTGCCTGATGTAGAAGGCCAAGGGCATGTCAGTGAAGTGTTGAAGTCACATCCAAAGTGATCAGACAGGGTGTGCTGGGGCATATTGTCTGCTACAATGATAAGCTCTATGACCAATATCTAAATGGCACAACCTGTCAGTTCTGTGATGACTTCTTATATATGACTCCATTTAATCCTTCCACTAACCTGGTAAGGTAAGTATTAATATCTGTTTTACTGATAAAATTGAGGCTGAAAAAGCTTAAGTAACTGATCAAATCAGCTTTAGTGGGTCACTAAGCCAGGAGTCCCACCTAGGTTATATCTCAAACCCATACTCTCAATTATAACCCACTGGAAATTGGTTTAAGGAAACAGGAGTAGAGAGAGCCCAAGCTTATCAGGGAATATGCCACAGTGTTAGTCTAAAAGGAGTGTTAGACTTTTCTTGTAAGCTGCATGTTGGAGGATCAATATGAGCTCGCTGGGCTTAGGAAAAGAAAAAGGAACATTATAGAGAGGGAGTAACATGAGCAAAGGCACAGAGTACAGGTGTGGTATATCTGGAAAAACCTAGTTGTGACTAGCCACAAAGAGAACAAGACTCTGGGAAGACTGGGCTGGAGAGTAGGTATAGGGCCAGATCACAAAGGGTGAAAGTTATAGACTTTATCCTGCAGGTACTAGGAAGGCACTGATAATTCTTTTTTTATTTTTTTCTGTATTGATTTTAGAGAGAGAGAGGAAGAGAAACAGAGAGAGAGACAGAAACATTGATGAGAGATAACATCAATTGGCCACCTTCTGCACACCCCTACTGGGAATTTGGCCCACAACCTGGGCATGTGCCCTGACCAGGAATCGACCGGTGATCTCTTGGTGCATGGGTTGACACTCAGCCACAGAGCCACACCAGCCAAGCTGCACTGACAATTTTTAATCAAGAAGGTAAGAAGGTAGATGCTGGTGGGTAGGTGTAGGAAAGTCATGAGTTGAGAAGGGGTTGGGTGTGAAGAAACTAGTTTCAGTCTCCTGTAAGAGCTCTATCATGTCTTGAGCACTGGATACTTGCAGGGCATTAGCAGTGAGGATGGGAAAAGAGGCAAGAAACATTTCATAGGTAGAATATACTGGTGTTGGTAATCAATTATATGTGGAGGTCAGGATCTCCTGAATATTCATACTTGCAAATTAAAATGCTATGCTTCTGACCTATGGCACCCATGTGTTCTCAGGTAACAGCCCTGTCACTGAAGTCCTCCAATCCCCTCAGAGACAACATCACCCCAGGGAGAGCTGCAAGTCCTGCCCTTGTGATCACAGGCATACTTCACAGCCTATACACAAGAAAACAAATACAGCCCGGGCCGGTTTGGCTCAGTGGTTAGTGTCAACCTGCAGTCCAGAGAGACCTGGATTCGGTTCCCGCTAAGGGCGCGTACCTCCGGTTGCAGTTTGTCCCCGGCCCTGGTTGGTCGTGAGGGTGGCAGCCACTTGATGTGTCCGTTTCACGTTGATGTCTCTCTCTCTCTCTCTCTCTCTCTCCTTCCCACTCTATCTGAACAAAAAATGGAAAAATGTCCTCAGGTGAGGATAAAAAATAAAAAAAAACCCAAATACATGTCACAAACAACTCTTTTTTTTTTTTGCATTTATCTTCAGATAGAGCGGGAGGGAGAAAGGAAGGAAGAGAGAGAGAGAAACATCAATGTGAGAGAGACACATTGAGTGGCTGACACCCACACAACCCAACCAGGGCCAGAGACAAATTGCAACCGAGGTACATGTCCTTAGCGGGAACTGAACCCAGGACTCTCTGGTCTGCGGGCCGACACTCTAACTGCTGAGCCAAACCGGCCAGGGCTCACAAACAATTCTTTTGGTCAAAACACAAAATGAAAATCTGGTCTCCAGTTATTTCTCTTACCTTTAGACTTTAAGTTGGTAGTTAGTTTCTTTTTGTTTTCATGGCTGTAAAATAAAGAAATACTGTGAGTTCTAAAAAAATGATAACCAAATATTTTTACAATGAGCACCTTAAGGAAGAAGCACATGTTATTTACTGAAAGGCCAGCAATTTTACATTTACTCCCTAACTTTTAAAAGCAAAAAGAAAATGTCAGGAGTGCTGTGGCCAGAGGTGTTTGCTGATGCATTGGTGGGAGGGTCCCTATTGTGACAACATCACTGCTGTCCCTGAGGGCTGGCTCTGCAACAGCTGAGTCAGACTCCACTTGGCCCTGTGTGTGCCATGGGGCACTGCACACTGTGCTGTTTCTGGAGAATGAATGCACAGCAGTGAGGCAGAGGCCCATTTCCCCTCAACAGTCTCTGGAAAACACTAATGTGTAAAGCTTTAGCACCTGTAGACAAATGAAAAGATAAATATCTGAAGTAGGGAGTTCAGGATGGCTGCCTCCAAAGTGTAAATATCTGTGCAAGACCAAACTCAGGATCCTCCCAGCGTGGTCCCCTCCCCCACCAAACCAGGCTCCTCCTCCTGTCTCAGCCAATGGCATTCTACCCCTCTAGTCCCTCCCAAAGTTCTCACTTCTTTTCCTATGCATTACTACCCTCTGGTCAACAAAACCAGCATCTCTTGCCTGTATCTTTTTTGTCTTTTTGAATCCTCACCTGAGGATATATTTTTTACTGATTCTAGAGAGAGAAGGGAGAGAAAAAGAGAGAGAGAGAGACATCAATTGGTTGCCTCCCATACAGTCCCTGACTGGGGCTTGAACCCGCAACCTAGGTTTGTGCCCTGACCAGGAATCAAACTCCAAAGCTTTTCAGTGTATGGGATGATACTCAACCAACTGAGCCACCTGACCTGGCTAGGCCTTTTATCTAACCTTTGTAACAGCCCTCTGGTGACACCACATCCATCTTTTCCACTTAGGAGCAAGAGTGAGCTTTTTGAAACACAAATCTGATCACTCCTCTTCCTTCCTTAAAACAATTCAATACATTTCCTTTGTGTTTAGCATAAGAACTAAATCCTGAACAGCACATCTAAGGTTGATGTCCCAGACTTCATCTGGCCCTTTGCTGGAGCCTTCCCATCCCCTACCCTCCAACCCCCACCTTCCAACCTCAGCACTCATCAAAGCTGCTGTTTCACACCCATTTGTGTAACTAACTGATAGGTGATAGCTCCCATTTATACTGTGAGCTCCATGATGGCAGGAACCACATCTGTTTCAGGTCAGCTGGGTAACCGTTTAGTAGGTGCTCAGTGAGTATGTGTGGAATGAACAGATGAACCTCACTCAGCTTGGGGAGCCATTTAAAGGCATTCGATCATGCCCTGCTGGTTTGGCTCAGCGGTTAGAGCATCGCCCACTGACCAGAGAGTACTGGGTTCAGTTTCCGCTAAGGGCACATAACTTGGTTACGGTTTGTCCCTGGCCCCAGTTGGGGTCGTGTGGGTGGCAACCACTTGATGTGTCTCTCTCACATCGATGTTTCTCTCTCTCTCCCATCGATGTTTCTCTCTCCCTCCCGCTGTATCTGAAGATAAATGCAAAAATGTCCTCGCTTGAGGATTTAAAAAATAAATAAAAAAATAAAGGCACTCAATCATTATTTGATGATACGTTATTTCATTTGCATATCTGTATTTATTATGTCAGTTCAGAATCACTTTTTCTTATAAGACACATGTTTCCTAACTAAATGCATGTAGTTTATCCATTGAGAAAGGTGGGAAGACGCTTTCAGGTGTTTCCTACTCCATCCTCATACCTATGGGGTAATGGTTTTTCTCTTTGGCAAACCATTTCTCTAAGTCAACGAGACACTGCAATTCAAGGCTGTTTTTTTTTAAAATTAATTAATTAACTAATTTATGTTACAGATGTTTCTCCTTTCTCCCTTCCCCGCCCTGTCCCCAGGTTTGTTGTCCATATCCATTGGTTATGCATACATGCATATAAGTTCTGTGGTTTATCTCTACTCCCCACACCTTCTTCTGAGAACTGTCAATCTGTACACTACTTCCATGTCTCTAGGACTACCCTGTTATTCAGACTGTTATGTTCATTATATTCCACAAATAGGTGAGATCATATGATACTTGTCTTTCTCTGCTTGGCTTGTTTCGCTTAGAATAATACTTTCCAGGTCCCTCCATGTCGTCTCAAAGGATAAGAGATCTATCTTTCTTATAGCTGCATAGTACTCCATTGTGTACATGTATCACAGATTTTTTCTACATTCGTCTGCTGATGGACATTTGGGCTGTTTCCAGATCTTAACTATTGTAAATAGTGCTGCTACAAACATGGGGGTACATATATTCTTTCTGATTGGTGTTTCAGGCTTCTTAGGGTATAGTCTTGGAAGTGGGATCACTGGGTCAAATGGACGTTCAATTTTTAATTTTCTGAGGTAACACCATAGTGTTTTCCATAGTGGCTGCACCAGTCTGCATTCCCACCATCAGTGTACTAGAGTCCCCTTTTCTCCACACCCTCGCCGACACTTGTTTGATGATTTGTTGATGGCGGCCATTCTGACAGGAGTGAGGTGATACCTCATTGTTGTTTTAATTTGCATCTCTCTGATGATTAGTGATGTTGAGCATTTCTTCATATGTCTCTTAGCCATTTGTATGCCGTTTGGAGAGGTGTCTATTTAGTTCCTCTGTCCATTGTTTAATTGGGTTCTTTGTCTTCCTTTTGTTGAGCTGTATGATCACTCTATAGATATTGGAAATTAACCCCTTATCTGATGTATCATTGGCAATTATGCTCTTCCATAGAGTGGGCTGCCTTTCCATTTTGGAGGTTGTTTCTTATGCTGTACAGAAGCTTTTGAGTTTGATGTAGTCACATGTGTTCATTTTCTCCTTTGTTTCTGGGGCCTTAGGTGATGTATGGGTAAAAATTCTGCTGAGTATGATGTCCGAAATTTTGTTGCCTACATTTTCTTCCAGGATTTTAATGGACTCATGAGTCACATTTAAGTCTTTTAACCATTTTGAATTTATTCTTGTGTATGGTGTAAGTTGATGGTCTAGTTTCATTTTTTTGCATAGAGCTGCCCAATTTTCCCAACACCATTTATTAAAGAGGCTGTTTTTACTCCACTGTATGCTCTTGCCCCCTTTGTCAAATATTAATTGAGCATATAGTCTTTGGTCTATTTCTGGGTTTTCTATTCTGTTCCACTGATCTATCTGCCTGTTCTTGTGCTAGTACCAGGCTGTTTTAATGACCTATTTCTGGTAATGTGATCCCTCCAACTTTGTTCTTCTTTTTCAAGATTGCTGTGGTGACTTAGGGTCTCTTTTGGATCCATATAAACTTTTGAAGTATATGATATAGTTCAGTGAAGTATGTCTTTGGTATTTTGATGAGGCTTGCATTTAATCTATAGATTGCTTTGGGTGGTATAGATATTTTAATGATGTTAACTCATCCAATCAATGAACAAGGTATGTGCTTCCACTTTTTTTGTATCTTCCTCTATTCTTTTTTCAATGTCCTGTAGTTTTCTGCAAATAGGTACTTTATTTCTTTGGTTAAATTTATTCCTAGGTATCTTAATTTTTTTTTTTTTTTGCTGTGATGGTAAATGGGATTTTTTTTTTAGTTTCTCTTTCTGTGAGTTCATCATTGGTGTATAAGAATGCCGCCGATTACTTGACGTTAATTTTGTATCCTGCTACTTTTCCAAATTCATTTATTAAGTCTAGTAAATTTTAATGGAGTCTTTGGGGTTTTCTACGTATAGTGTCATGTCATCTGCAAATAATGACAGTTTCACTTCCTCATTTCCAATTTGGATCCCTTTTATTTTTTATTGCTGTAACTAAGACTTCCAGTACTATGTTAGATAAGAGTGGCGAAAGTGGGCATCCTTGTCTTGTTCCTGTTCTTAATGGAAATTATTTCAGTTTTTGCCCATGGAGGATGATGTTGGCTGTAGGTCTTTTATATATGGCCTTTATTATGTTGAGATATGATCCCTCTATTGCCACATTACTGAGCCTTTTTATCAGAAAAGGGTGCTGAATTTTATCGAATGCTTTTTCAGCAGCTATTGATATGATTATGATTTTTGTCTTTCATTTTGTTAATGTGGTGTATCACATATATTGATTTGCGAATATTGTACCAGCCTTGCTTCCTTGGGATGAATCCCACTTGGTCATGGTTAGTAATTTTTTTTGCTGTATTACTGGATTCGATTTGCTAGTATTTTGTTCAGGATTTTGGCATCTATGTGCATCAGGGATATTGGCCTGTAGTTTTCTTTCTTTGCAGTGTCTTTTTCTGGTTTTGGAATTAGAATTATGCTGGCCTCATAAAAGGAGTTTGGAAGTCTTCCTTCCTTTTGGAATCTTTGAAATAGTTTGAATGTTCGGTAAAACTCCCCCGTGAAGCCATCTGGGCCTGGGCTTTTGTTTGCTGGGAGAGTCTTGATTACATCTTCAATTTCTTTTATTGTTATTGGCGTGTTCAAGTTTTTTATCTCTTCCCAGTTCAGTTTTGGGACACTATGTGTTTCTAGAAATCGGTCCATTTTGCTTAGATTGTTGAATCTGTTGCCGTATAACTGTTCATAATATTTATTAACAATCCTTCGTATTTCTGTGGTGTCAGTTATTATTTCTCCTCTTTTATATCTGATTTTGTGCATTTGGGTTCTCTCTCTTTGTTTCTCGGTGAGTCTAGCTATGGGTCCATCAATCTTGTTTATCTTTTCAAAGAACCAGCTCTTTGTTTCATTGATCCTTTGAATTTTTTTGGTCTCCATGTCATTTATTTCTGCTCTGATATTTAATACTTCATTCCTTCTACTTGCTTTGGGATTTTCTTTTTGTTTGCCTTCTAGTTCTTTAAGTTGTGAGGTTAGATAGTGTATTAGGAAATTTTCTTGTTTCTTGAGGTAGGCCTGTAGTGCTATGAACTTCCCTCTCAGAACTGCTTTCACTGCATCCCACAGATTTAGTGTTGTTGTGTGTT